AAAAAAAAAAAAAATCTTCTGGATTTATTCTTTCATTAGTGGGGTCTGCATGCAGTATGTGTATTTACACTAATTTATTAAATTGGGCTAATTTATAAAATTAATGAATTTGAACAATGTTAAATTACACGTAAGCCAAAAAGCCACTGAGGAAAAATATTTTTAAAAAGGAAAGAGCTTACCATACCTTTAAGCTTTATCTCTATCCTAAGGGTAAATTTCTTTCTTAACGTTCCTTTTCTAACACTGAGGCAGGAGAGGGTTAGGTGTGGTGGTGAGATACAGACTCAGCAATGCTGTCTCGTGGAGACAGCATCAGGCTCAGACAACACTCAAGAGCGGATAATAAACAAAGATGAACATGCTAGAACCAGCAGGATTCAAAAATACTCACTGAGCTTATGGCCATGATCAAAGGATCATCAGGAAAAATCCTGCCCAAAGTTTATCATTACAGCTTGTTAACCATACAAGTGAAGACAAGAAATCAGTGGCAAAAACAAAGCTCAAGAAAGGGGAAGTAATTTTTGAACACGAATTCTTTGGAGAAGTAACTTTGTTTTTAACTGTATCCCAGAATGTTTAGAAATTCTAAAAGTTCCTCTTCCTAAATGTACATATAACTGTGTTCCGTAAGTAACTATCACAGGATGCTATAGTAATGACTTCACTGTTTTTAGATCAACAGAGCAGATTTTACCTGGAATATCAAGAGGCTGAGACTGCAATATGTCTAAGCCATAGAAAACCCAGATCCACTTTTGAGAGATGGAAAGGCTATGAAATACAAGAGATAGGAGAGATTTTTAAAAACTGGCCAAGGAACAGATAAGTTTCTCCCACAAAGATAACTCCATGCCTCCTACGGGCGGTCGGATGGAGCATTTTCCCAGATAAGGGATGACATCCCAGCCGAAGCCTCAACTGCTAAGGTTTCTATGTTTCAGGATTATTCCAGAGAAAAGAGGTTCTTAGGCTATGACATTCTAAAAGCTTTTAAACTACATTTTAGCTGGCCTGTGACTGAACTGCAGGTTTAATTTCCTCAGCTGGGGAAAGCACTACGCCTGGCCGGGCACACTGTTTTTATTAAAGGCCACTTGGAATTTTGCGGCTTTGGTGTGGGAAAATTATGTTTCTGGTGTCTGAGCTACATTTTAAAACACTAGTTTGTTGAAAATGGAAATACAATTAGAATTTTTTTCCTTTAAGTAGCAGCAATACAAATGAAGCCAAGAGATTTTTTTAAATATCAAAATGTGTTGATGAAAAAACTTCAAGTAATGCCTGATTGCTCTGTGTTTTCTAATTGAAACTACTCAATAGCAGCTAAGTTTATCAAAGCAATTCATACGAAGTAGAGGTCACAGAGGAAAAGAGGCATGCTGGGTCTTCTGTTCATACAGTCTGCAACCTGGAACTGGCACACCACGCCCAGGCCCCGGGCAGGTCCTTAATGAGCTCGAGCACAGCGGGCTGTTTCTCTACATGGCTTCATGGGGCTGTAAAGGTCAAGACACTGAGAGCAGATTTTACCAGACAACATGGGTGAGATTTAACTCCTTTCTTGTCATAAACCAATGATGACAATGAAAACAGCCAAGAAGGCCTTTCTTCAATGAAAACACTGATGGAGATTTAGACAGATGGCCGACCAGAGACCCCCCCCCATGAGAGGCCCAGTACTGGGCCTGGCCTGGTCCCTGTACCATACGGCAAGACCACCACTCAGAGCTGGGCCTACAGACAGGCCCGAGAGAAGCAGGCAAGGTCCACTTCAGGCAGCTGCTCCCCTGAGCAGAGAGAAGTGAAGCAGTCTACACAAAGCCCGGCCACCCCTCTGCCTTCAGTGGCACGAAGGGTCTGGGTGTGCACGTCCTCAAGGCGCTAGCATGGGGAGGGCACACCCTACAGACTCTGCTCGGCAGTCAAAGGACCACCTGGCGGGCTGCTGGTACCCGGACAGGCACTTGGTCACTCCAGCAGCTGTATGAAGCTGACAGGCACCAGGAAACCGGCCTTCTCCTGGCTGAAGTGAGTTCTGGTTCCTTTCATCATGTTCCACAGGCAGATCCAGCACCATCCAATTATACTTACTTCTGCTTGTACTTCAAGTTCAAAAATAAGATCTTCCCTGACACAGAATTAAGAACCACCCTTTTGTTGAAGAAAAAGAAAAGAAACCTCATATATAAGGTGTAACAACTTTTAGGTAAGAAGAATGAAAAATCATCCGAGGACCCTTCTGTGGAGAAAAAAATTGGACTTCATATTACCAAACATGCCATCAGCCCAGGTGAGGCTTATTCTCACCGTCTGGGGAGGAGGGTGGGAGGGGAGAAAGACAGGCAGCGGGGCGGGAGGGGGGAGACAGAAGGGAAAGGGGAGGATCACGGTCGCAGGTGTGAGCCTCTGCTGCATAGACAAGGGTGTGCGTCGTGGGACCCAGTGCGGGCTGAAACAAGCCCACTTGTTCGAGGCGGCTGGACTTCAGCTCCGCGCACGGGCTGTGCTCTACCCTGCTGTGTGGTGTGGCCTCCAGCACAAGCCCTGCAGCTCCCAGGGCAAGGCGCACTCCTCCCTCTCCCTGTCCTCCTGTTAAGGCAGCCAGAGTGAGAAGATGCGGGAATGGCAGGAGGCGGAGGACACTCACATCGATGGCGTCCCGCTCGAATATGCGCAGCTGCAGGAAGAGCTCCAGCTTGATCTTACGCTCCTGGAAGAGCTCCTCCATCTGGGCCTGGGCCTCGTCCAGCTGCTGCAGCACCGTCTCGATGTGGCTGATGGAGCTGTTGTGGGGGGTCTTATTGCTGGAGATGGCCGAGTCCCTGCGGCAGGGCAGAAGGGGATGGGGACAGGCATGAGAAAGTCTCCCACTGTCTGACACCAGATCCGGCCGGCCGCACAGACTTCAGGGGGAAGAGAGCTGGCAGGAAGCGGGGCCGCTGGTCTCAGAAAATGGAATCAGCAGCCCCTCCCGCCACACAACCCTGGGCTTCCTCCTCCGAGCAAGCTGCCAGGTTTGAGGCCACACTGAAGACTCTGCTCCGCACCTCCCACCGTCGCTCTCAAAAGAAGTCTATTACAGAAAGTAACTTCAGCAGAGCTCAACTTTAGCCACTCTTCTCCTTAAGTAGAGGGAACAGAATAGACGATACCTGTTTGCTACACATGGTAGAGTCAGAGTGGTGACAAAGGGTTAAACTCTAATGCCACCAATTTAGCCTTTAACAAGTCACTTTTGCCTGACTCTTGGCAAAGTGAGCATTCCGTGAAGTTACCAGTCATGACTGAAAAACAGTCCTCTGAGTGATCCAGTAACATGAATCTGCTCCCAGGCCCAGCAGGGCCTCCTGCCTTTCTGTGCGGAGGGGAACCTGAGGGACGGGGACCCCCCGCCCCCAAGGCCGGGCCTCCCCGAGCCTCAATGCTGAGGACCGGGACGCCCACCATCCTCTAGAAAGGCACATCACTCAGGGCCTGAAGGACACAGTCCTCGGAGATTTAAATCAATCTGGTCTGTAAAGAAATTTCAATGAGTATTCAGTAAGTGTTAAGAGGAAATATTACTAAAAGCTGAGCTCTGGGAACGTTTATTAGTCAATGCTGCCATGAGAGAAATCGTCACAGGAAAGAAAAAGAAAGGGATGTTATTCTCTGTTGTATGCAGAGATGTTATTTGTTCTCTACCTAGCTGGGCAGGGAATTACAGCCCATTGTTCAGAAGTGTGAGCTCAGGGAAGGGGAAATCACTGGCAGGACTGCAAAATGCCCGTGCCCCGCAGGAGGCCAGGGACGCGGCCCACCTCAGTTGCTGGATGAGGTCCTCGCCTTCCTTGATCACGTTGACGGTCACTTGCAGGGTCGTCTGCTGCTGCTGGCCAAAGCGCTTGATGAGGTCTTGCACGGCCTCCACCGACTCGGCATACACGTCATCCAGCAGCTCCTTCTGTAGCTCCTCCAGCCATGTCCACAGCTGGGGAAGGAGAGAGTGCGGTGAGGCCAGGCCCCCGGCCCCCCTCCCCCTGGGAAGTTCCCCTCCCCCGGAAGTCCTGGTGCGGACACCGAGTGACACGAGTGGCCACACCAGGAGGGAGCTGGCAGCAGCCTGCTCCCAGGGGATGGGGGTGGGAGGGGGAGCCCCCTGAGCAGGCCCAGGCAGCGGAACACACGGAACACGCGCACAGAAAAAGCAGTGTGCAACCACCGCGTGGCGAAAAATAAACAGACAGACAGCTCAAGGGGACTGGCACAAAAGAGAAAAGAGGAAAGGGAAGGGAAGTCACTCTTTCCGATTCTTCCTAGGCTCAATCCTAGTGGAAGAGAAAGAAGACCCCCTCCACCAACCAAAACATCTGCTAAGCATAACGCACTCCTTTACACATCCTCTGACTCTCGTTTAGCAGATGGATGGTTTTATTTTACTTTTAGCAAGGGCACTACAACGCATTATTAATTATTAAACCACTGCTCAGATGTGGCTGCTGTCCACAGCTCCGAAAAGGAGGCAGCGTATGATGTGGTGGGATAAATTCACCACCGTGCCTGGCGGGAGAGTCGGATGCGGCACCGCTCAGTGACGTCGCCCACCCCGGGCCACGGCCCGCCTGGCCACAGCCGACCTGGCCACGGCGCAGTCCTCCAGGGGAGGAAGGAGTGTGCATCCCGAAAACACTTCCGACTGCCACCATACAACCACTCAAGATGTGTCTGGGGACGTGGACAGGTAAGGACCACTTGGAATGACAGCGGCAAGAACGACCTCAGGTGCGGCGGGAGCGGAGTGCTTCACCCGCTTGAGGCAAGCCCGCTGCCTCCCTCCACGTCTCTGGGGAGCCATTCGGCAAAGTGGGAAAGATGACTAATGACCCCAAGCGGGGCCCTGGTGGCTCAGAAGTGGTCTGTGCGGGAGAAAAGGCTTCCTGCTTCCTCAGGGATGTGAGGAACCCCCCCCCATTTCTTCCAAGTGCCCTACGGACAGCACCTCTGCCCCAACGCCGACCTTGCCAAAATAAAGGCTGTATTGGGTCTTTTGTTTCTGAGCTCATCTTTGTTCGAAAACTGCTTTACTGAGGTATAACTGACATACAGTCAATTGCATGAATTTCCAGGATAAAGTCTGTGAAGTTTGACGCATCCAGGAAAACTCCCCTGCTGTCCGCCGTGAACAGCTCCATCACCCCAAAAGTCTTCTTGTGCCCTCCATAATCCTTCTGTCTCCCCTGCCCTCCCTCCCCAGCATCTGCTACAGATCGGCTTGCATTTTCTTGAAAAAGTACATAAATGGAACCATATCCTAGGAACTCTATTTTTGGTCTGGTTTCTTTCCTTCAACATAATTATTTTGAGATTCATCCATACTATTGTGTGTATCAACCAAATGCTGGGACCGAGCTACTGGCAAAGCCGGTACTGGGAAAGAGCCCTTTAGATCCGGTCACACTTTGTGTTGATATTGTCGGTCAACACCAAAAGTACCATTCTTTGACTCACCATATAAATATGGACTAATGCTCTGCACCATCTATAAGGTTCCATAATCAAGGACATACTTATTTGCTTTCCTCTAAATCCTCATGAACATGGTTGCTGCCTTTGTAAATAACAGAAAGGATGACAGCATCATGACCATGAGGAATCTCCCAATTTGCTCTGATACTTCCTAGGAAAAACCTTCCAAGTTCTACAGGTCATGTGGTATAGCAGGAGTACTGTGGATTTAGGAGATGCTTTAACAAAGCACTGACTCTGTGACCTAAGAGATCACTGAGTTTCTCCGAGACTCGGTTCGCTACAACAGAGGCCTTCAGACCAACACCGGCCTCAAGAAGTCGCTCCGAGGGCCGGGAGGCAGAGGCGGCAGGAGGGCACCGGGGCATCAGCAGTGCTCTGAACAAATTTAATTCCCAAAGCAGAATGACCTACTCTAATGAACTCAAGAGGCAAGATGCGCTAAAAGAAACCAAGAACATGCCAGTGAGCAGTAACAATGTTACCAACACATTTTATCGCGTCAAAATATCTATCCCAAAACATCCAGGGTACGTTATCTAATAGGTAGGCTTTTACAGCTGAAATGGTTTTACCAGCTTCCTGGTAACCTGCCTCCCACTTGCTCCCCACAGAGCAAAGCCCCCTCAGACACATGTGGCCGCTGCAGCCCCCCCTTCAGATTCCCGTCCGGAGACAAACACTATGAAAGGTGGACCTGTTCAATTACACTCATTCCAGTGTAAAAGAAAATTAAAAACAAAAAACAAAACACTTGAGTCCCTTCCTTTCAAAATCCCAACTGTCATTTTCTGCCTTCCTACGCGTGCTGCACAGAAGCTGCTCCTACCTCGTCGCAGTGTGAGAAGACCCAGGGAAAGGAGGTCCCCGGAGCACACCTGCGGCTCACACGGAGGAATGGACACAGAGGCACCGCACATCCCACGGTTGGGTCTGTAGAAAGAGTGCCACTCATTCAGCAGAGCAAATGCACACGCAAATGTACGTCTAGAACGGACCGCTCTCTTTCACCATCATCTAGGCAGAAGCAGCGCTGATGGGAAGGAGGGTGAAGGAGCCAAGTCCACCCCAAATGCTGACTCTGCATCACGGAAGGGGGTGTGGGACTCATCAGAGAACGAGCAGGCCCACGCAGGGCTGGAGCCAATGGGGGCCCCCGGTTTGAGTTACACTACACTATTAAGAGCTAGGTTCTCCCAACAGAGACTAGTATCTCTTCTTTCAAATTTGTGGAGAAAACAGGAACACACAATTTTTTTTAAGACCACTAGAAAAACGCTACAATATCAGCAAAATATAACAACATGAATTAAGACAGCTGGTAGAGAATCTGCATGTGCTGGACAAGACACATCTAGCATACAGGTGGCCCAAGCCTCCTCCCCGCCCCTGCTCACACAGCTGGGTCAGGCCTCCCCAGGGTCATCAGCCTGCCAGGCCCCTCCAGGAGCCCTGGCCCAGCACCTTTCTCGCACCAGGTGCCCTAGATGCCACGGTGGACCCAAGGGGTGTCTGTGTCCCTGCCTGGTGGTTGGCACAGCCTCCGCCCCCGACTCAGCTGCGAGGCCTAACTCACAACCCAGCTTGTGGGACAGGATGGAGGACGGGGGACAAAATTCCTCTTCTCCAGCAAATACCACCAAAAATACATAATTTAGATTATGAAACCATGTTAATGAACCTTGCTTCTCTACACTGTGAGGAGGAGGAGAAGATCAAAACCAGTGCTTGGAACTGCCCTGAGGCACAAGGCCTAAGTGCATCTGTGTAGCTCCACTGCAACAGCCTAAGACTTAAGAGTTTGTCCACAAATGATAATTAAAATAAAACACCTCTCCTAAGAGCTAATATGGAGTAACAGTTAAGAGTGCGGGCTCTGAAGCTAGACTGACTTAACATCCTGGGCTGTGGCCTTAGGCAAGTTGCTTGGCCAGTCCACGACTCAGGCCCCTCTTCTCTAAGATGGGCCTAGTAATAGCAGTAACAGTAACAGTGCCTCCCTCCCTCCGGGAGCTGCTGCGAAGAGTAAATGGGATGGTACGTGCACAGCGAAGAAACAAGTAAATGTGAGCCATTAGTACTAGTTTTGTTCTTGTGAAGAAACGTGTCTAGTAAGAAAAACCACAGAATTTTAGGTCTTTCTCTAGATATTTTTCAAAACATAACCAGGTTCCCACTTATTGTTCAAAATATGTCACTGAGTCTGGTAGACTTAACACCATCCCACGTTTAAATCTTTTTACACCTAAAAATAGTATGAGGAAAAGGTGCTAGAATGAGTGCACCGGAGTCCATAGAAATCACTTCCCCTTGGTTGCAGGGGAAATGCCATGAGGATCTGTGGGTCAAACTTTTTCCTTTCCTCAACATCCTGGACACTTGGACGCGCATCCCCGGTGGAATGTGCTCAGGGGTCCGGCCAGCTGTGGAACCAGTGAACGGCCACGGCCACAGAGGAAACCACAGAAATGGATCTTCGGCTCCGGCAGTTGGAAAGGGAACAGTAAATGAGGTAGAAGGAGCAAGGTTATATTTAAATCTAAAATGTCAAATGCTCCCAAATCTTTTGCCCCTCTAGAATTTTTTTTCCCTGCCTCTACAGAAAATATTCTCATTCAATTTGGAGAGAAAAGGATTCTCAGATAAAGGTCTTCTGATTTCGGTGATGAACTAATATATATCATAATGCAGTATAATTCAGGTAAAATCTATTTTTAAGCTTTTAAATTAGTATATGATGCTTAAAATAACCTTTGAATAAAATAATAAGAAAAAGTCTCTAGGATACCTGTGAAATTTCTAAAACCCAGCGCTTCTGTGCATGCTGTTAATTTCCAATCAAGAGCTACATCTTTGCGGACAGCCCGACAGCCGAGAGGAGCTACATTCTACCCAGGTTCTCAGCCTCGTGGATTTTCCTGTGAGAACTGTGGCCCATGGCCAGAGTTAGGGAATGCTGCCCCCTAGAGGCCCCCTGAGCAGCCGCCAGCAGCATTCCAAGGACGAGCACTCGAACGCAGCGGGTGTCTCCAACCTGGTTCGTGTACCAGAATCCATTCACAGAGAAGGCTGGGCTAGGGAGACACACGAAATTCTGGGGAGAGAACTCCCATGACAAAGATGTGAGAGCCCTGGTCCTGGATCCAGTGGTGTCCGGCCAGGTCTGACCCAGGCTCACCTCCACTCCGGCCCCCTCCCTCTCCCCTCTGTGCTGGGTGGAGCCCAAAGGAGGAGACTGCAACTCTGCTGGGAGAAATCTCCTGGAAGAGCCCCTTCCTCACTAATTGGATGGGAGACTTTGCCAGAGAGCGCTCCCAGAGGAACCTGTTGGCCTGGGGGAAATCCCAGGAAGGACTGAGCTTCCAGCCCTATTCCACAGGTGACAGGATCGGAGGCCTGGGATTTGGGGATTGCTTTAGCTGCAACCTCTTTCAGATGCAAAATCTGAATGCAGTCTATAAGCCA